CTGAAGCTGGAAACTGGGAATTTGCACTGATGAGTGTCGGAACGGATGGCCAAGATGGACCAACCAGTGCTGCTGGCGCAGTGTTGACCAGCTCTGACCTTCGTTACATCATCCATGGTGATGGATCGACGAAATGGAAGAAGTCCGTGATCGATGGATTTTTAAGCAATAACAATTCGTATAATTTCTGGAAAACATTCCGCAATGGTAAATCGCATATCATTTGTGGACCAACCGGAACAAATGTTATGGATATCCAGGTTCTACTGTTCAACAGGGAATAAAAGAACAGATATTTAATCACTTGATTATTTTCATTTTATTAGATAAGTTTTTCAAAGTGAACTCAACTAAACTGCCAATCGGGCGGTTTCTGCGAAGAGATGGCGCACCAAAATAAGCGGTAGTTATTAATCGGAAATATGCAGCTCAGGACCGAATGACTTGGTACAACTGCGTCGGGGTCCAGAAGCATCTCAGTAAAGTCACTAACACGATATTCCTATACCGACCGTCGAAGTGCTCCTGGTAATCTTGATTTGTATTTAGACATTTGAATTAGCTATAATAATTCGTAGGTTAGTTCTCAAATTTATGCAGTGGACAACTTTTCCAGTTGCTCTGATCAATTTTGCATCACCTACTGGTCATCAGCTTACTAGCAAGCTTAATGTTCACTCCGTCTGCTCAGGTGTTTAGCTATAGGCGGATTCAGGACGGACTCCTAGAAGACCGGAAGGAGGAAGGGGAGAGGGAGGAAGGTAACGGAAAGGGTGGAGAGTCCTCCCCCCCCCCTTCCCCACCTTGGAACTATGCAAAAACTAGGAATAGAGTTGTAACACTCCTACTTATAGTTACTTTAGGCCTTAGTTTACTCTAGTTCTAGCTTTAAACTCGGACTTTTGCAGCATTGGTTTCTGAGACCCTTGGTTCTCCCCCCTTCCTCTCAGCTGAATCCGCCTATGTTATTAGCTCACCAGTTCTCCTGAACCTGGCACGGTTTTAGCAATTTCAAGATGTCTTTGTTGTATTCTGAGCATACTACCACGTTGTCCCGAACGTTACCGCTCTTGGAGTACACCGATAATTACCCTATCGACGAGGAGACTGTCAATATGTAACAATTCAAAATCAGTTTCGTGAGCAAAGACGAATTTACTGCCAAATCAGTGGTACCAGGGATTGGCTGGCTTAATCAGGATCGTAATTGGAGCACCAGTGTAAGGATATTTACTATTAGATGGTGTATCCGTCAGCATTTTTGTGTTAGTTGTTTTGAAAAGCTTTTTTTGTCGTACGGTTTCCTTTTAATACTGCAAGGGCAAAAATCTGAGAATAATTCATGTAAAAAATTCAGACTTGATAGGAACAAATGTACTTCTTGACTTAAAATTTCCATATCTTGGAAGTGTTTCGAAGTTGGCTCGGTGGCTGAGTGGTCTAGTGGTATGATTCTCGCTTAGGGTGCGAGAGGTCCCGGGTTCAAACCCCGGCTCAGCCCTAGCTTTTGCTCGGTGCGTGAAAAACGTGTGCATAAAATTTCATGAACGAATTAAAGTGTTAATACAAAAGGGAATTGTGGTGACGCATCGTTTTACACATGCTATTTTATTCAATCAGTTTGGTACCTCGTTCTCTTCGTGCTATTTTGTCCAATCAGTTTTTTTTTTTTTTAAATAAAGTCCCAGCCCCTCCCTAATCTCTAGTCCTCTTCCCTCAGCAATGACCCCCGGAACCTAAACCAGCACCCAGAATCCTCGCCTTTTTCCCATCTCCCCTATCTATGCCCTGCCATATCCTCAGTTATCGAGATTTGCTTTCGCGGCTCAGCAGATCAACAGTTTTAGTAACTGCAAAATTTTTAGGTTCCG